GACCCCTCCTTGGGTTTCCGAGGCAGTATCACTACGGAAGTAGGATTGCCCAACCTTCCTTCCGAGGAGTGGCTGGTGGGTTTGAACCGCCAGCTGTCTGGTTAGCAGGCAAGTGTCTTAGCCACTATGCTACCAGAGCTCCCATAATATAGCAACAGAAAAATCTAAGTAATATTCAGACCACAATGAGATGCCACTACAGACTCATTAGAAAGGGTAAAATTTAAGAAGATGGACAATTCCAAGTGTTGACAACAATGTAGAACTCTCAAACATTGCAAGTTAGATGACAAAACCATATAAAAAGTTTGGAAAACAGTGAAAACTTTTGAATAAAGTTAAGCAATAGGTCCATATGATCCAGCATTCTAATAGGGATATATCCAAGAAAATAAAACATATGGCCACATAAAGTCTTATATGCTAATATTTATAGCAGATTTATTCATAATAACTAAGTATTGGTAGGGAGAGCAAATATGCATCCACAGAATGGCTAAAGTATGGTTTGTTCATACAATGGAAATCTACTCAGCAAATAAATAGATTACTGCTACACACAACATGTATGACTCATGAATATTATGCTGGGAAAATAATCCAGACAAACAAAATACATGTAAATATGATATTATTTCATTTATGTTAAGTTTCAGATTCATAAAGTTAATCTCTATTGATAGAAGTCAGATCAGTGTTTCTTGGGACAACTGTTGGAAGCATGAGGGAATTGTTTTAAGGAGATGGAAATGTTCTGTATCTTAAAGGGCAGTTACATGAGTGTGTATATTTGTTAAAGCTCATTGAACTGCACACTTAATATAGGTGCATATTATTGTATGTGACTTATACCTCAATAAAATTAGATTAAAAATATTTAAAAAAAATTTTTTTTAATCCCCCAAATAATATAGTCAGTAGAAAGTAGAAGATACAAAGAAACATCAGGCATTACTTGGGTAGATAAATTACAGAGGAAGAACATGTGAGGCAGCTATTTTAACTCATTTACAATTTAAAATAAAATTATTGCATATGATAGCATTATGCAATAGAATATGTTGTCATGTAATGACTATAAATGTTCTAATGCAATCTGTATAATAATAAAAACAGGAAACTTGATTTGGATAACTTCCAGGCTCATATATAAAAGCAGAAAAATCTATGAAGTAAAAGAAATATGTTTTGATAGATATTTCAAAAGATTTTAGAGAGGGCAAAGGTCAGGTGTTGTTATTTTTGAGGTCTTGTTCTGTTAGAAAAAGACATACTAAGTCTACTGCCATTTTATTAATGCTATTAACAGCAATAATACTGACAGTTTTAGTAGATTGTCCAGCATTCAGTCTTTGAGGCAGTTATTTGGGGACAAGAGATCAGGCGAAGCAGGCAGAGGGCCAGGCTGGAGGAAGGCACAGCTCTACCACTTGAGACTATATGACAGGTCTCCATGGTTGCCAGGTTCAGCATCAACTCCCGGCTGAAGGACCAGGAGACTCTTGGGGCAAGCCTGAAAATGCCTGAGGTTTCAATACCATGTATATAGAGTGGAGATGAAAAAATGAAGTCATGCCTCAATGGCCAAGGCAGGAAAAGTTTTAGAACAAAGAACTGAGGAATATATGTTAACAGTGCCCATGAACTCTAGGCAGAATGTCCTATCCTCATCCACCGCTATCTTGGGGCAAAGTTTCTGTGCAAGCAGGATGATAGGTGGAAGAGCAACCTTTGAGATTAGACAGACCCCTGCTCTATTTATTATTAACTGGATAACCTTATGTAAGTTGTTAAATTTCTTTGAACTCTAGTTTTCCATTTGCAACACAATTTTTACAGAATTATTAGAGAACTAAGTAAAATTATTTACATATGCATGTATGTATGTATGTAGTTGTTGTTATTTGCCATCGAGTCGGACCCAACTCATAGTGACCCATCCTTGGGTTTTCTAGGCAATATCACTATGGAAGTAGGATTGCCCAACCTTCCTTCCGAGGAGTGGCTGGTGGGTTTGAACCGCAAGCCTGCTGGTTAGCAGCCAAGTGCCTTAGGCACTATGCTACCAGAGCTTCTGCATGTATGTATATGTGCATATACATGTGTGTGTGTATGTCTGTGTGTATATATATGTATATATGCATACACACATGCACACTCACACACAAGTATATGTGTATTCTAATATACTAAATAACTAGAGCACACTAAAGAGTTAGCTCTCTGAACAGGTTTTCATTCATATTTAAGGAGATAAAATTAAAATGCTCTTAATCTAAATTTAAAAGTTCTAAAAATATTATAGAATATCATGAAATTCTATATATACAATATAAGAGGAAAAAACTATTAGCCAACTTGGATTACTATTTAACTTGCCCATGGCAGATTGTTGCAAATGACTTTTGCTCAAGTTACTGCTCAAGTGAATAAAAGCATTGACTCAGCTTTGATCGTTGGCTATAAATCTTGGTATCTGTGTAATTTAGATGTACCCATGCAATGCAAACATCTAACAAAATTACTAGTGACTATAAGAGGGTAAGGAGCTCTGGTAGCATAGTGCCTAAAGCACTTGACTGCTAACCAGAAGCCTGGCGGTTCAAAACCACCAGCCACTCCTCGGAAGGAAGATGGGGCAATCTACTTCCATAGTGATACCTCCTCGGAAACCCAAGGAGGGGTCGCTATGAGTCGGGTCCGACTCGACGGCACATAACAACAACAACATAAGAGGGTAAGAAGGCTCTTCTTAAATAACTAATTACATTTTTAAATTAAGGAATAGATTAAAGCACATGGAAACATGCTGATTGTCCATCCCCAGTGTCGACTTCCTCACCTTATTGGTAGCATAAAAATCATAAGAAGACAATGCCAGCAACTGAGAATATTAATTTTGAGCTGTTTTTGTAGTACCTCCTCTGAGCCACTTGAAGGATAAAATAATTTTTAATTAGGACAACCTCCTTTTTTTTTTTCATCAACACCTTACCCTTTGTATAGCAAAAGGTAAATATTTATCAAATATTTAAATAATAATTATTCTTCAAGCTGTATCATTTATCTGAATTTGATTTTAAGGAAAATAATTTCCATTATTTAATTTTTCCATTTATTTATTTACCTAAAAAAGATATCCCTACATTGGAAATCTCCTTTCCTAACCACTGAGGTCTTAACAGAGAAATATCAAACTGACCTGAATTTTGCTCCTTGACTTTGTTGTTGTTTGTTGTTGTTATGTGCCATCGAGTCAAACCCGATTCATAGCGACCCCTCCTTGGGTTTCCTAGGCAGTATCACTACGGAAGTAGGATTGCCCAACCTTCCTTCCAAGGAGTGGCTGGTGGGTTTGAACTGCCAGCTGTCTGGTTAGCAGGCAAGTGTCTTAGCCACTATGCTACCAGAGCTCCTTCCTTGACTTTAAGACCCTTAAAAAAAAGAGTCCTCAAAGCTTCAGGATCCTGAAAACATCAAGTGTTCTGTCCTGGTTCGAGAACATTTTGTTGGGCTTTTGTGCATGGACAAACAACTAATTAAACTATAAAAGCAGCATCTTGTCTTTTATGTTATAAGAATAATGTTCTATACTGTAGACATTTTCTCCTTGAATAACCTTTTGTTTCTGTCTGCAAACCTTGAAATACAATCTGGTTTAATTGTTTTTCAACTCATTAGTGCTCTGCTGGCTGCGCAGAAGGTGTATCCACGTGTCACAGCTAACAAAGGATTCAGAACCCTCCAAAAGTCTGTTACGCATCTGCTGAAGACTCTAGACTCTGCAGCTGAAGGTATTTTATTTCCATCTCGCTGTATTAAATTTGGTGTCACAAAGTCTGTTAGCAATATAAAACAGATTGCAACTGAAATAATCATTCATTGGTGATATTATTCTTCACCCAAACCACCAGCCCACTGCTGTTGAGTTGATTCCGAAGCATGGAGCAGAACTGCCTCAGAGTTTCCAAGGCTGTAATCTTTACAGGAGCAGACTGCCCCATCTTTCTCCCACTGAGAAGCTGGTAGATTTTCAAACTGGCCTTTTGGTTATGAGCTGGGCACTTAACCACTGCACCAGCAGGGCTCCTTACATATTTTTCTTTGGTGGGTACATACGCTATGAGTAAATCTAGATCTCCAGTTAACCCAAGTGTGGGGAAAGGGGTGACACCTGGAAAAGAGCCTGTGACTTTCTCTAATTTTTATTGGGATGAAAATGATCTCCCTTTGCTTATAAAACTATGCATATACTTCAATATGAAATATAAACATCAGGCATAAGCCTCAACAAATAGATTCCTACCACTAGGGGTTTTCACCACTAGCGTAAGCTGAGTTGCAGTATTTTTGCCCTTGTTTCCAAACTGACTTTTTCGTTGGGCTGAATCTCTCATTAGTAAAAAAATAATAATAATAAATAACTGCCTTTTATCTACCTTGAAAATGCATGGTGGTCATCAGAGTGTGACATAGTCAGTGCAACTCCGCCGTCATCCCCAGGAAGACAAGGGGTAGCATGTTGCTAGTGGTTCAGAGAATGCCACCTTTGCACTGTAGACCAGCCTTATGTGCAACATGCATGGCATGTACACAGACACATAGATTTAGGGCTACAAGGACTAAATCTCTACTTCCTGAGTCATGTTAGGTTAGCATTTATCTTTCCTGAATGAATTTGGAATTATGCTCTCTATTCATTGAGTTTATCAGCTTTTCATTACGTAGACTTTTCATTTGTATTACCAAGCAAGCATCCTGGTAACATCACCAGCTGATTGTTCATTCTCAACTCTTAAGCTATTGGTTTTCATATCAAAAGCAAGTTTGGAAAGGCTTTGAAAGAATTCTCACTGGAGGATCCAACATACTCTTGGATATCACTTTCTGTTAGCCTAAAGCATTTTTTATACCTACAATTACAAAGTTAATGACTAGCTTGAAGGTTGATTGTTATTAAATTTAATGGTCTCAATAAACATTAGCAAATAAGACTTACTCTTTAGAAAAAGTTCAGGCCAGAAAACCAGACAGTGCAATACCAAATACTAATTATTTCCTCTTTTTTTTTTTAATTATTATTTGCATTGTAAAGATTTGAGAACTTCAAGTTTCACCTTTCCATTCTTTTCCTTTTCCACTTCAGACTTACATCTTATAATTAATATACAGCGATAAAACATTTTTTATAAAGTCAAAACTCAGAAGCTCATCAGAGCTTCAGAAGCCAGGGATGTAAGCAGCATTTCTTATTAACTCAGACAGTAAAACACTTTCCTTGGTGAACAATGTAACTCAGTTTGCAGTTTTTAATAATAACCAGGTCTAATATCTACGACTCCACTAATCATTTTAGCAGCTATTAAAACATATCATTAGATGGTCAATGTGATAAGGAAATTCATCAAGGAAATGTGTTTTTATTTGTAAAATTTGATGTGTTTAACATCTTAATTTCATGCACTGGTGACTTCCTCAGTCTGGGGGTAATGTGGTAATATTAATGCCAATTTCCCAAAGCTCTTTAACCCCAAACCCCTACCTGCTTGAGTAGAAATTTCAAGAACTCTGAAAGATCCTCCCAAGTATTTCTGGGAATCCTTTAGGGAACTCATACTCGTCATTGAAGGCTAACAAGTAGCCCTAGTTCCATAGAGCAGGTGTCTCTGGCCCTACGTACAGATACTAGCTGCATTGCTCAAGCCACTCCATTCCTAGTCCTTGATTGTTTAGCAGTGTTTAATGAAGTATTTCCTCCTTCAGTTTTACATTTAGTTAAGCAGGTGGTGAGGGATCTCAGCAGAGTTGCTTGGGCCTTCTATTATATATATATTATACGTTGTTGTTGTTGTTGTTTGCCATTGAGTCGGCCCTGACTCATAGCGACCCCTCCTTGGGTTTCCGAGGCAGTATCACTACGGAAGTAGGAATGTCCAACCTTCCTTCCGAGGAGTGGCTGGTGGGTTTGAACCACCAGCCTTCTGGTTAGCAGTCAAGTGCCTTAGGCACTATGCTACCAGAGCTCCTATATATTATATCTATAGCAGGGTTAAGATAGCACCTGTAGGTCTCATTAAAACAAACAAACAAACAAAAAACTACTGCTGTCAAGTCTATTCCAACTCACAGCAACACTACAGGACAGAACAGGATTGTCACAGGCTTTCCAAGGCTGTAAACCTTTGCACAAGCAGACTGCCTCATCCTTCTCCTACAGAGCAGGTGGTGGGTTTGAACTGCTGAACTTTGGGTTAGCCACCACATGCATTAACCACTGTGCCACCAGAGCTTCTGTAGATATCATAAACTCTTTTAAACAATGAAAATAATAGGTTACACTTATTGTGCCTTTGCTAAGTGCTTCATTATCTTTAATTCGTTTTATCCTCAAAATAACCCTCTGAGATACTATTGTTGTTGTTGTTATGTACCGTCGAGTCGGACCCGACTCATAGTGACCCCTCCTTGGGTTTCCGAGGCAGTATCACTACGGAAGTAGATTGCCCCATCTTCTTTCCGAGCAGTGGCTGGTGGGTTTGAACCGCCAGCCTTCTGTTTAGCAGTCAAGTGCCTTAGGGACTATGCTACCAGAGCGCCCAAAATAACACCTTAGAGCTCGTCGGGATTTGAACGCGGACCTTTCGCACCCAAAGCGAAAATCATACCACTAGACCAACAAGCCCCGTTTTGCAGGCAAAGAAACTGAGGCACAGGGAGATTAGGCACGTTGCCTATATTCCATATCCAGCAGGTGGCAGAACTGAGCTTCTTTCTCCAAAGCCAAGTCCATGGGGAATTTTAGGGACTGCCCCACTCTTTAGAAGGAAGGTTGGGTAATCTACTTCCGTAGCGTTACTGCCTTGGAAACTCAAGGAGGGGTGGCTATGAGTCGGATCCGACTCGATGGCAGTGAGTTTGTTTTTTGTTTCACTCGCATTTATTGTGACATATACGCCTTTGCTTCCAGTGCTCTAATGGGGCTGTCAAGTACAAGCCACCACCAGACCTCAGTATTATTCCCACTTCAGTCACTGATGGAGTTTTAGCTCATCATACCTGACATTTTCCCATGTGATAAAAATTTTCACAGCCACCCCTCAACTCCTCTCTGCACTCTGATTTCTACAAACCTCTCCTTCCCCAAGTCTAGCTCTGATTCAACTTCCGTTGTGAACACTCCTCGAAGTTTGAATGCAGCTTCCTCAGTAACCATGAAGGTGGCTAACCTCGGAGATGCTAATAGACAGGAAGGAAGTTGTCTCCTAATTTCCTGTCTTTGGGGTCTAATTCTCAGCCCTGCCCCAGTTGGAGTCACTGTCATACTTTAGAGCTTCCGTTTCAGAGACACTGGAGTTTTGAGATCAGAGATTACCTTTCTGACTCAATGAAGTTTGCTCTTTTTCAAAGTAGTGAGTTATATGAAATTACATTTTTAAATAGAAAGTCATTCTGATGAAAAGAGGTTATCTGCACACTTAGTTTCTTTTTATGTCTATGTGTAGCATTTTTAAATATGCCTAACCCCACAAATAAGAAAGAAGCAAAATCTCACTTTTAGAAGGTCTATAATATTTTCCACTTCATTAGAGCCTATTTAGTACAGTATTTCTTCCAAGATATTTTATAGTCTATAGTGGCCAGAGGGAAAAGTCTCCACTTAACTTCAGGGTCAAGTCTATCACTGGTATATCTGAAGTTCATTTTTATTAGTAACTGATTTTAGTGACTTGATGAGGAAGAAAAACTCCATTGTTGTTGCTGTTATGTGCCGTGGAGTTGGACCCAATTTTTAGCGACCCCTCCTTGGGTTTCCTAGGCAGTATCACTGCGGAAATAGATTGCCCAACCTTCCATCTGAGGAGTGGCTGGTGGGTTTGAACCACCAGCCTTCTGGTTAGCAGTCAAATGCCTTAGGCACTACACTACCAGAGCTCTTGAAAAACTCCATAGCCACAAGGTATACCAATGCCCAACATTATACAGAAGTGCAAAATGGAGCAAAATTTGATCTTAGAAAAGGTGTTTTATATATTTTACATGGCAAGAGCATAAATCTCAATATAGTTTTATCTTTGAATATTATCTCTCTCTCTCTCTCTCTCTCTCTCTATATATATATATATATATATATATATATAAATGAAAGCCACTGCCATCGAGTCACTTCTGACTCATAGCAACCCCGTTGAGTATCCAAGGCAGTAAATCTTTACGGAAGTAGATTGCCCAGTCTTGCTTCTGCAGAGTGATTGGTGAGTTTGGACCACCACCCTTCTGGTTAGCAGTCAGATGCCTTAGGCACTGTGTTACCAAAGCTATATACAGATGCTAATAAATAATAGGGATTACTATTATTAATTGTGTTTATTTATTCTGGACATCTGCATTCTTGGTCCTTTAACTCACAGAGATGGTGCTGTAAGTAGATGTTGTGAAGGAAGAATAATATTCAGCTGCCCCTGGAAAACTGCTCTGCTGAATAGGAAAACTGAAAAAGCTGCTTTGCCATTTACTAGTGATGGTCCAAATGTTACTTAAACATACCTGATACATGAGGCTGGCAAGTAGGGTTCTAATTTTATGATAGTCTTTTATACATAATGCTAATTTAAGTAAACCAAATGCTCAGCACCAGAAAAATGTGGAATGCTTGAACAGGGAGGGTCTTTGTGAAGACTTTAAAATGGACTAAACAATGAAGGAACTGTTGAAGCTGGTAATGAAACACTCTACTGAAAGCCACTGTTGTTGTTGTTATGCCGTCAAGTCGGCCCCGACTCATACCAACCCCTCCTTGGGTTTCCGAGGCAGTATCACTACAGGAGTAGATTGCCCAGCCTTCCTTCTGAGGAGTGGTGGGTGGGTTTGAACCGCCAGCCACTAGGCTAATATTAAAAATTATGGCATTGACACAGACTGATTTATATATAAGCAATGAGTAGTGTCAGAAAAGAAGACTGGAATAAGTGGCATCATGTTTCTAAAGGAGTTGATTTGGGGTGTTTTTATTTATTCAGTAGCCATTAAAATAATTTTTATTCTAATTTTTAATCTGAATGCTGTTGAACATTTACTCTTTTCTGATACCACCTTATGGAGCAGGCTGAATCAGCAATTCATTTGACTTCTAGGGGAAGTTCAAGGTGTTGAATTAGATCTTCACAAAGGGTTTCCATTAGACACAACTTAGTGCCTGCCTTCCACACTCAACACCATTCAGAAGGATTCTGTTAACATTAGCCAATTTGCATTCACAGCTGCATTCAATTTAGGTCAGGGGTTGCTATTTGAACAGTGGAAACTATAGATTAGTAATGGCAGTTGTTTCCTAAGGCTACATTCTAGACAACAGAAAGCAAGGAAAAAAAAAACTCAATGACCCATAAGACTGAAATTGGCTGCTTTGATTAACAAATCACGTGGTAGTCAATCTTCATTATAGTATTCAAGAGTCATCTGTGCATACAGGTCTTGGAATAAAATAATAGAACAGTTTTATGCATGGAGAAAGAATTTGTTAGAAATGCATATGCTTGGCCATTGAGGTGATTTTTCTTAGTGGGCACCTATTTCCTATAAATATCCTAAATGTTTCCCCCCCAAAAAAACAATGTAGTTATCTTTTGTAAAATCCTTTGGAATAAAAAATCTGGTAGATTTTCTGCATTGTCTCCCAGTCCCTTGCCATTAATTTAACCTGGGATAACTTTCCATAAGCAAAAACAATCATAACAAAAACAAAATAATAAGCCAAAATTCTTTAAATAAACATGGTACTTTTTCACCCATGTTACGAATTTAGGTGGCTCTCATAACACAACACATCTGTGGAGTGAGGCTAATGGACAAACGCTATCCCCAAGCAGCCTGGCCGCACAGTAAGTCTGTGTGTGTGTGTGTGTGTGTGTGTGTGTTTCTAAGCTGGGTAAGGTGGCTGAATTAACAGTAGAACAATCCATCGATATAAATTTCTTATCAGGATATAAGACCATCATAAAGAAAACTATTGGAGTATTGATTAGCCAAAGAAAAGGATATAGGTGAAGAGTGATAAAGTTGAAACTTATTTTTTATAATTCTCCAGTGATCTCTCTTTTTTAGTTCTAGGATTGTATAACTAGATCTAGTGCATAGGCTGGTTACTTTGTGACTATGAGGCAAATTAGCTGGAGGTCCAGTCTCTGACCCTTTTATGATCTTTCTCCACGAAAGATAGTTAAGTTTCTGATTTCTCACATTATTTCTATTTTTAAAAATCAGATTTTTTTTAATGCCCACTGTAACGTAAAATCTGTATGCTTTCAGGATTATTCGGATAGGCAAAATTGTTCATAGGCAATTTCACTCTGGACCCATTGGGTCATGTAGATTCGACATCCAGGAATAGGCAGTGAAAGCGTAGCAACTGTGCCTTCTAAGGACCATTAATATGAGGTCAAGTCTATCATGATAAGTCTGAAGTTAATTTCTACTAGTTACTCATTTTAATTCCTAAACTAACTGCAGTAATTATGGTAGGAAACACAAGCAATTGCCTGTAATGCCCCTAATGGAGGTAAATTCCTGTGGTTCAAGGCAAATTTGGAGACTGGGTGGCCTATAAAGGCTGCTTTCACCTGTTAAGTTACACTATTGAAATTCTTTTGACTCTAGCCCCATAAGATATACTTTTGTGTTAATGGAAATTTGCACCAATAAGAACAAATGGTAGGGCTTATTTTTAAACCATTCCTTTCTTTTTCTAAAGTAGAATATAGTTTTTAAATATACTGTATTTTTAAATCATTTAATGATAAAGTCTTCTACTCTGGGTAAATTCTAAGCAAAATCCTTACATAAACCCCATGTCTTGTTTCTGCTCCTGCCTCATTTAAGGTGGCTGGACCAGGTGCTTCTGTCTTGCACTTGGGAGTTATCCTCCCCTGGGACAGCCAGCTACAATGGCTGATAGCCCAGAGCAACTGGAACCCTTGGGAAAGTTTCCCTTAGCCAGGAGGCTTTGTTCCAAACACTTGATCTTTTAAACATACTCCTTATATACCTTTGAAGAACAAAACAAAACCTTTTTGGATTGAGACAACTGTATGCTTATTGCTGGAGCCAGGTATCTTCTTCAGTGCCTTGGAGCATGTAACATTGATAATGCTAACATATCAGACCTGCAAATCCTGCAGCAAATGTAGTTAGTTGCTGACAGCTAGCTGACAGTTTATTAGGAAGAATTCAATACTTTCAAGACAGCTCTTGTTGAGACTGATGAAATTAAGGATTTCTTATCTTTGGACTTCTTTTCCATTACTGGTTTAAAATAATCACAGAGTGGCAGTACTAACATAAGATTTAAAAAGTTATTTTGTTCTGGAATTTTCTAAAGAAAGTTGCTCAACACTACTTTTTACTCATAGTCCTTCTCATAAGATTTATTCTAAGGTCATTATTTTTATTGTTTTGTGTGTGCACATGTGTGAGCACACATGTGCTCTCATGTCTTTTATTGCGGACATCTTGGGAAGTAGGTAGGGTTACGTATAAACCAAATCATTTAAAGGAATAATTGGGTGTCCATACCAACACAGTGGCATAAAGGTATAGGATCTTAGTGTTTGAAGTTTATTCAATCCAGTCACAAAAATCCTGGCAATCCAATGTTCTTTGTGAAAATAAGAGAATGGCTTAGATGGCATCTCAGGGTCACTTCCAACTCAACAGATCGCAATTCAAAGCTAGACTGTCAACCATGGGAAATCTCTTGTGCCATTTCATCTGAGAGGGTAAGGCAATATTTTGCTGTTTAGCACTACACCAGGATGGAAAATGCCTCTATGCTGTAGTAACTACGACAGGGAGGAAAATAGAAGAAGGAAGGACAATGTCTGGAAGAGTCAGGAAAGATGAGAGGGAGGTAAGGGAGAGATGTGAAGGGAACCACCCAACACATGGCCATCCAGAGATTTGTCATTGGCCACTTCTCAAATAAATGGCCAGTATCTCTGCAGCTTCCTGTATCTCTTCTACTCATGTGTTTATCCTCTCAATAGCTATCAGCTACAGTCTATGAAATATAAATTCCAAAAGCTAAATATTCTGAATGGGGATATGGTGGGGTGGACAGAAAATGAGATATAAAAACATGAATACATCATTCTTTCAAGTTGTTCATGGGCGATAAGTTATCATTATAACCAAATAAAGTAAATGAATCATTCTCCCAAAAAAGAAATGGATCTAGTAGATCAATAATTACTTCCATAGCTCCATTTGCTCTTTGATACTTTGGACTCCCGAATTTTATCTTCTAAATTATCTTTAGAATTTTCTTTCTAATACTGCTTCCAGTTTCCCTTCACATTCCAACAGCTAGTCTATGTTCCAAAACACTTGCTCAGGTTTATTTTATTTTATTTTTTTTGGTCTAAGGACAGTGCTGTAGGTACATTGAAAGAACAGAAGATCATTATTAAAGCACAAATTTAACTTGACTCAGTGGTAGTGCCACAGTCTGTGAAACTTAACTCAATGTAGGCATGCAATACTTAACCTATATGACAAGGTTAGTTTTGTCATCTATCACACTTCTGTTGGGTTTCCCTGATAGATGGTTTCTTTTATTTAAGTTAGTAAATTTAGTCTAAGAATATATTCTCCTGTCTTCCATTTGTGGATTGATATATGGTACTGATTACCCACAAGGTGTCTTTGATAATTAACAAGACTATCTGTACAACAGCTCAAAAGTCAAAGACAATCCAATGCAATGCAATCAAGGTTCTTTGTCCAAGGAAATACCTAAACAAAAAGCACAAGACCTTTGGGAACCGGTGTAATTCTTTTTCTAAAATGCTATTTAAATGAGGGCCTGTCATCTGACCAATTAGCTGTGCCCTGACTGCCAAGTTAGAGATTTCTTACTGTTCATTTTTGATTTTTCCAATAGGCTCCTAATACTGGAAAACTTTGAAGATGCTCTCTTAAATATATCAGCAGATAGTCCTTACCTTCCTTACCTGGCATGTGTGAGGAATATCACTGACAATTTGGCCAGGGGATCACAAGGTAATATCATTTTTAATAGTCAAAACATTGTTCATAGTTTCTAATTCTGTTTTAAAGTAACAAGTCTTTTAGGATATTCATTTAAAAAAACAAAGAAAATAGAAATATCTTCATTTCCATATGCAAGTTCCAGATTCGTGATTTGATATGTGAAGGGCATGTTTAATCATTATATTATTACCTCTGTTGTTGCTGCTAGAACCATAACTGCCACCTGATAAACTTTCCGAGTGCCCAGGATCATTTGGGACCTACATAACCCCATTGTGACACTTCTTTATGCCTTTAATACTCTTGGGTGTCAAAAAATAATGAAGGATGATAATACAGAGTTCCAGAAACAGATGTAAATGGCATAAGCAAAGGAATTCTTGTGGCAGACTATTTTTACTTCCTGTCCTCACATCCTTTATTTTCAATTTTCTGCTTACATGGGCAACCACAAACAGATTGAATTACTTAAATGTGTTTTCTGTTTTTTTTAGGAGATATACTCTCTCTTTCTCCCTCCCCCGCCCTTCCCTCTCTCTCTCTCTCTCTATACCAAAGTAAGTTTTTCAAGACTTACCAAACCCAACTCATTGCCATTGAGTCAGTCCTGACTCATAGACACCCTTACTGGGTTGCCGAGGTGGTAAATCTTTTCCGAAGTGGATTGCCCCATCTTCCTTCTGTGAAGTGACCAATCTTCTGGTTAGCAGTCAAACACCTTAGGCACTGTACCACCAGAGTTCCTTTCAAGATTTAGTGGCAAGCAAATAGCATAACAAATATTTAAGTCTGGTCTCTGTTTACCAGGCGTGAATTAGTCAAGGTTGGAAGGGCATATTTTTATGAAAGTGATTATAGAACCTATTTTACCCAAAACACTTCACCTTAATATCCAAAATGTCAGAAGTAAGAGCATATTTGGTTCACAAAGAGCCAAAACTCTGTAGCACCTTTGTTAGAAATACTTTGTCTCTAAGAGGAATATCTATGAATATTTCAAGAATAATAAGCTCTATATTCTCCATGGTTCAAGGAAAGGTTAAATTTTTACTCATCTTATATTTTGATTGAGCTAGGCTATTACTTAGAAAAAAAAATTAGTAATCAATCAGCATAAAGGTGTCTTTCCTAAATGACCTTGCAGTCTTCATAGAAGGTAACTTTTTCCCTCTCCTTTACAGAAAATCTAAGACTCCTGCAGTCCACAGTTCGATTTAAAAAATCTTTTCTTCAAAATGGTTCCTATGAGGATTACTTGCCTCCAGTTCCTGAAGTCGTGAAATCAAAAGTAAGCCATGAAAGAAAAAAATGAACCTCAATACTTCCTGTACTACTCCGGCACAATATATCTTTAAGTTAAGTTTTAAATCTGTATCTTTGTAAATACTGGACCTGTTAACTCTGGATTAATGCTGGGAAAAGGGTGAGAGAAAAGTGTTCAGGTGCTATATAATGGTATTTTGTTTTTACTCTGAGAAGATCTCTGCATATAATGACCTGTAAAAGGGCAATTACAGTATGCACATACATAAACAAATGACTACTAATCTAGTTATCTCATCAAGTTTGATCATTTGAACAAGCATTCATAATATGACTTTCAATTAGCAAGCTCCTTAGTTTTCAGTCTATGCAAGTGATTCTGAAAGCTGATGTTTTAGACTTCATACAAAAATCTCAGAAGTTGACAAAATTGTAAAAAGAAAAAAAAAAAAAGACCAGTCTTGCTGGTCTGACAGCGCCTGGTGAAACCCCTGATACTATGGCCCTTAGCTACCCTTCAGGTCTGGAATTGAATTCCTGTTGCTTCCAGCCAAATAGAAGACAGGCATATGGGCTGAACATTCACATCATGTAGATACACTCCTTGGGGAGATCAATTATGGGGGAACAGAAGGGATGTGTATGTACAGGGAGACCGCTTGAGGGGCAGGAGTGCCTGAGAGGGAAGGACACAGGCAAGAGGCAACTATGGGGTGGAAGTGGGAAGAGAGCTATTACATTGTGGGAAATTGCAGTCAATGTCATGAGGCAGAATGTGCTGTAAAGAAAACGAAACTTCTCTGTAAACTTTCACCCAAATCACAACAATTTTTTTTTTAAATTTAAAGATAAAAAAAAAAATTCTCAGCAGCTGATTCACTCTATTTTTATTATTGTCATCAGAAGCAGAGACTAATCTGTCATATTAGAATGTATGATGTTGAAGAAAGGGGAGAGCAAATGTCTTAGTTCCCTAGGGCTGCTGTAAGGGAAATACCACAAGTGGGTGGCTTTAACAAACAAATTTATTTTCTCACGGTTAAGAGTCTAGAAGTCTGAATTTGGGTGCCAGCTCTAGGGGCAGCCTTTCTCTCCCTGTCGGCTCTGGAGAGGTCCTTGACGCCTCAGCTTCTGCCTCCTGGTTCTCTGGCAATCTCCACATGGCGTGGCATCTATCTCACCCATCTCTGCTCTGCTGACTTGTTTAATCTCTTTTTATATCTCAAAAGTGATTGACTCAAGATAGACCCAACACAGATTCTGTCTCATTAACATAACAAAGACAACCTGTCCCCAAACTGGATTGTAACCACAGGCACAGGAGTTAGGATTTACAACGCATATTTTGAGGGGCTCATGATCCAATCCATAGCAGCAACCTAAAGCTATCTAAAACTCTGAAGTTTGTCTGAATTGGTTCATGTGTATTTATCTATTATTCCTTTTTTAGCTCATGCATATTGTAGACAGGTTATCGTGAAATTCACTTTATCTCTTAAATAAACCTATTAAATTTTGAAAGCAGCTTTCCTAGTAAGAACAGCAGTTTAATTGGATTTATGTAGCCAGGGACAAAGTAAAATTAGAACTGGTTTATTCAGGGCAAGCAATATGGCTTGCTGTATATTCAGCAAGGTATAATTAAGCAGGCATGCAAAACATTATGTCCATGTATATTACAAATAAATATGCTAGTTAAAGTACCTGCATTTTACCTGTTGTCTTCTACATGAATCAAAATTTCTAATATATCTAATTTAGCACTATCTTAATTTGTTTGTGCAAACGAGAAAGAAGTTCTGTAGTCATCTGGAAAATTCCTACTCATTTTTCAAGGACAAATGTAAATGTCTTTCATTCTATAATATTAGGTTATCGCCTTTCTTCCTGTTTCTCATCCCAGCTAATGATTTTGCCATTTGTGCCCCTGTCATGTTCATCCCTTCATTCATTTTGTCTATCACCTGTGCTCTCATAACACTCAACCCAAAGTGTTTATAATCAACCCAGTGGACAAGATGGAAAAGCAGACCATCAATTATAATATAGTGGTCTAAGTGGTATGGGATGTGGAGGTACAGGATTCTGTGCATGGAGGTGAGCTATCTAACTCAGACTGCAGAGGATGGAGGGGGAGAGAAGAAACCTTGTGAAGGAGATAATGCTTAGTCTGAGTCTTGGAGGCTGTGTAGAAGTGCATTGAAGACATGCATTCCAGACATATTGTTGTGTGCTGTTGAGTCGCGACCCCTCCCTGGGTTTCCGAGGCAGTATCACTATGGAAGTAGGTTGACCCATCTTCCTTCCAAGGAGTGGCTGGTGGGTTTGAACCACCAGCCTTCTGGTCAGCAGTCAAGCGCCTTAGGCACTATGCTACCAGAGCTCCCATTCCAGACATAGGGACCAGCAATCTGTAAGGAGACAGAGTCAGGCACTAGAATGGCAGATACAGATAACCTGCAGTCATGAATCTACCTAGAGCAGAGGGTAGGAAGAGTAGCAGCAAAGAGGGCTGCAGACAGAGGCTGGGTCCTCTTTATGCTTAGTGAAGGAGTTTGAATTTCATCGTGAAAGTAATCAATTCGAAGAAGGTGAAATTTGCATTTTAGGAAGAGATCACTCTAGGAGAATTATGGAGATAGATTGGAGGGAAGCCAAATAGGCTGTTTTTGTAGTAAACTAAGCAAGAAGTGATAAGAGCCTGAAATGTGGCAGCTGCAGAGATTAGACGGAAGAGACAGCCTTCTGAGTGATTTAGGAGGTAGAACTGACACACCGTGCCACCCAGTGAGATGGAGCATGAGGAAGAAGAGTCTGACGAGTGAGACTCCTGTCAGTTCTGTCTTTTTCTTCCTAGTCTCTTTGATGGGAGAGTAACTTTCTGATTGGGAAGCTACAGATAAAAAGAATTTCTCCACAATGGGAAGAAATACAATTACCACAATATTTTTACTGTAACACCTTCAAGTTTTTCAATGGGCTCCTTCCCTTCTCCCTTAATCTGCCAAATGCCCAAAGGTGTTGCTGTTTTATCATTTTATGCCCACAATATTGTGGGATCTTCACCATCTTGTTACTTATTTAGAAAAAAACAGCACAGACATGCCTCAGAGATATTGTGGCTTCAGATCCAGACCAACACAACCACGTGACTATCACAACAAAGACGGTCACACGAATATTTTGGTTTCCCACATAAAGATTATGCTGACACTATACTGTAGTCTATTAATTGTGCAATAGCATTATGAAAACACTTGAAATATTGTGAAGATCACCAAAATGTGGCACAGAGACATGAAGTGAGCACATGCTGTTGGAATAATGGCCCCAATAGACTTGCTCAACGCAGGGTTGCGACAAACTTTTTGTAGAAAACACAGTACCTGTGAAGTGCAATAAATGGAAGCAGAATGAAAAGAGGTGTACCCTTAATAAATCGGAATAAAGGTGTCTTTCAAATGAATTCTCAGGTGCCTTCAGGAGCTACTAGTCAGCAGAGAGCTCAGTCACACGTGGAAATTGAATTAGTTATGGGTCACTGTTCATTTTAAGGCCTGATGCCTTACTTGCTGTGTGGTCCAGGGTTGTTTGTGATAAAGACAAAAAGGCTCTACGTGAGGCTCTGACAAATTTGTAAACTGGAGTTGATGCGTTCTTTTTTGAAGAGTGAAATTATAATTCTCTGAATTTGTGTTGATTGTTGATGGTCCACAAAGTCTCTAAAAGTTTATTGCATGTGTTGCTCATTCTTTAGAATAAAACGGTGGCAAATGCCAAATGACCATAATATTGCTCTTTGGCAGATGTGCTCATTCCTCATTATTTACCCTAAATTAAATTCTTCCTTAATCAACAGCTAAGTCTACTGTGGCAGGATGACTAGGTGTTCCATTTCTCCTATAATTTTTCTCTTATCAATCCAAGGTGATACTACACTCTCTAAAGCTCAGTTAGGACAAATATATTACATCATCACTATTCTTTTATTTAAGAAATCACCAAAACACAAGCCAGTGCAGGATGTGGCATGGAGGTATGGCTCTATTCATTAGAAGGTTAATCACATATGAAAACCAGTGCTGTTGAGTCGATTGCAACTTACGGAGGAATCGTGCTCCAAAGCATTTTCAGTGACTGATTGTTCAGAAATGGGTCACCAAGCTGTTCCTCTGAAGTGCCTCTGAATGGATTCAAACTGCCACCGTTTCAGTTAGTAGTCAAGTGCTTAACTATTTGCCCCATCCAGGGACTTAATCATATCCAGTATTTGGAAAACCAAAGGAAGGAATAGAGGTGCAAATGCAGTTTCAAATGATAAAATAATTGAATCTATTAAGGATGGAAATTGTCTCATAGCAATGAGAGTAGGAAATATCATTTTAATTCATATAAGGCCATTTAGATAGTCTAAGCCAAAAGTCAATTCAAATATTAAATACAATGGAAAATAGACAAATGATATTTTCTAAGATGATCAGGATTTAATTGCTGCTGACTACAGGTAGTGACATAAACCTCTCATTAGAGAGACATCATTGTGACTTTCTTGCATGGAAAGAAGTATTTTTAAACATTTGCCTGCCATGAAGTATTTCATTTCTATCAAAATGTGACTTGTGACGGGGAACTGAGCTGCAATGAATGACACATACATTTGTTCCTTTAGAAGTTGCTCCAAATCGTTTGTCTTCTTAAGTGGAACAGCACTAAGGTAACTTTAAGTACAATAGAACTGGCTTTCCCAGAGGCATGATTTGTTTCTTCTCTACAAGTATGACAAGGGAATAGATTTTCAGAACACACAGAGCACAGTGAACTGCAGAGAGGAATAGAGTCGACAGGGTAGGAAATTGGTTGATTTGCATTTGTCTTCTTTTCCTGTGGGTGTGGGATGATAAACCCTATAAGCAGTTCCATAGAAGGAAAGCACCTGGTTTTCCTCTGTATGGAAGAGGACAGAGGGTAATGTCGCCAACAGTTTTCCCAACCATATTTTAAATGCTGTCTTTTTAGAATGAGTGCAATTCTCATACCACCGTTTAAGAAAGACATTTATATATAAATTCCCAACCAAACCTTCTTTGCTATTTGCCCATATACATGAAATAATATATAAATTATAGTGGAATGATTTTAATCAGGTAAAATTAAACTACATTTTCTTAACCTGTGAATCTACAAGTTTTTCATCCTATACTTGGTAAAGACCGGTCTAATAAGTCCAAAGCTTTTATAAAATTCTTAGAAGAACAATAAGCTCAAATGACTATATGTTGTTGTTGTTGTTATGTGCCGTCGAGTCAGCCCTGACTCATAGCGACCCCTCCTTGGGTTTCCGAGGCAGTATCAC